TTTTGCATCAGACACCCTGTATATTAACAACAACAGTATGGCATAATTACTCGAATACATATGTAAATGCAAACAAAACACATTATTTTTAGGTTAAAAACGCATGCTGGCGCAGAAAAAAGCAGTCCATGCAAAGGTGCGTTCCGTTTTGCGCATGATACGCACATGATAGGAGGTATTTCGGTTAGGGTGCCGTCCCATGGCGCGTATCGCGATACGCGCGTATCGGGCGTATCAACTCGTCGACCAATCACGGACGATCCGCCGTTTTTGATACGCTCAACCATGGAGTATGTATAAGGAGACCGAACTGCCCGTAATCAGAATGGGCCGATGTTTGTGCCCGCCAGACGTTCTGAAAAGCAATACTGGGAGCGCTGTCATCAACTAACTCCATTCGCATTCGTACGTGACACATGGTTGTCATATGCATGAAGCTTTCGTGGTTATATTAATGATAGAGTACGAGATGTTAAGCCCGCTGCAGACGATGCTATTTTTCCTGCTGGATTGCTTGCAATTTAGTAAATTACTAGGAATCCTGAATGCTGAGTGGTGCAATGATAGTAATTTACTAAATCGCAAGCAATCCAGCAGGAAAAATAGCATCGTCTGCAGCGGGCTTTAAGCCCGCTGCAGACGATGCTATTTTTCCTGCTGGATTGCTTGCGATTTACTAAATTACTAGGAATCCTGAGTGCTGAATGGTGCAACAATAGTAATTTATTAGATTGCAAGCAATCCAGCAGGAAAAATAGCATCGTCTGCAGCGGGCTTTATATCAATTTCGAGACTATATACGATATTCGTAAAACCGCGAATAATTTCATGTTTCTTGCTCTTCGAACTACGATTACTGAAATATAAAAAATTGTTACTCGTACTTACCAGAATAAAAATTAATTCCTTGAAACTGCGTATTTCACAAGTTTCGAGCAGGCTCGATACGTCCGTATATAAGATGAGGAGATGGATTGTGTATCTCTGAAACTTGTGAAAATTACAAAAGTGAGCAAATTCACAGGTTGAAATTAGAAATATTCTAGTATTCATTCACTTTTGCATTTTTCCTAAGTTTTAGAAATCGATCCCCAGATAAAGCCCGCTGCAGACGATGCTATTTTTCCTGCTGGATTGCTTGCGATTTAGTAAATTACTATCATTGCACCACTCAGCATTCAGGATTCCTAGTAATTTACTAAATTGCAAGCAATCCAGCAGGAAAAATAACATCGTCTGCAGCGGGCTTAACAAAGGTTATACGCTGTATCTACGAGCCAGTGAGATCAAGATCGGTAACTCATGAGCGAATTCTTAATCGCGTAAGGCGCCGCCAGCGCTACAAGTGGCAAAATTTTGATTCACTGAATGGCAAAAATGTCGGCCCACTTTCGGTGACGTGATCCAGACCTAGTTCGGTCTCCTTATACATTCTCCATGCGCTCAACAATCCGCTGAACAATATTCGAGCGGATCGCACACTCACACATGTACATCGTAACGTACGTGTGGGTCGAGACCACGGTCTTACATACAGGTCTGGTAACTCATATGGTGGGGGTAGGTCGCTTAGCGAAGAAATTTTGTAGTTCTTGTAATGGCCACAGCGTTGCAGTCTCAGTTCTTTTGGTGGCGAGGGACGCTGGAGGCCGAGGGGATATGTCGAGTTTACCGTGCATGGGACAAAGACAGACAGATATCCCTCCCGGCCTCCAGCGTCCCTCGCCACCAAGAGAATTTCCTCGCTAAGCGACCTACCCCCACCATCGAAAATTAGAGGCAGTCCCCGGACCTGTATACAAGACCGTGGTCGAGACTGTCGAGAGCATGGTGGAAGGGATAACATGGTGTGCTCAGTTCGACGGTGTCTCTCTCTAAATATCTGCGCTCTCCGTCTCTTTTGTGGCTATAGATTCCCAGGTCTACCAACTGTGAAAAATAAAATATTTAGTGTCGAAAAGTTGGTATGCTATAATCCATCCTTGTTTCATGCACTCTGTAATGCATCAGAGTTTCTCTTTCTAACCTTGATGATCTCTCTGATAAAACAAATATTTAAAGCCCGCTGCAGACGGTGCTATTTTTCCTGCTGGAGTGTTTGCAATCTAATAAATTAACATCGTTGTACCACTCAGCACTCAGGATTCCTAGTAATTTAGTAAATCGCGAGCAATCCAGCAGGAAAAATAGCGTCGTCTGCAGCGGGCTTAATAAAAAAATTAAATGAACAATGATAGTGTTTTAATAATCAAAATGAAATAAGTGAAAGGATTTCACCAGTATGATAAATACAAGTGTCATTAGTTATTAAATTACTAACATGATAAAAATATATTGATACATATATAATATTAAAATTATTAGTAAAAATAAAATAAAATATACATATATTGCATTAATATAAAAATAATAAAAAGAGTATTCTCTTGATGTATTACATTATATGCATGTAATGTACACGTAAAGGCTGTGTAAGCTCAGTGACAGTTATTTATGCGCAAAGAAAAAACAATTAATTTTAATGTGATGGTCTATGTTATATCCCATGTTTATTTTTCTGATTTATCATCGTAACAGAATAAATTGCTTTTTCTTTGCGTACAAATATCTCTCACTGAGCTTACAGCCTTTATGTGTACAAATTATTTGATGCATTTATTTTTAAGCGGATTTATTTTTAATGCAGGACAGTTCACGTTGTGAATAATTAAAATAAATAATAATTGAGAATGAACTTACCTGTATTTTTAGATATGCGATTTTCTCCGATTTTTCGCAGCCAAGCTTCGCGTATAATTTGATTTTTCGGCAATAGAAAAAAAATTAATACGCTCACCGCTATAACCATTTGAATTGCTATTGCAACCACTCACTATGCACGAATTCACCATTTTGTACAATCACTGATCTCAATGATTTTTCCGAAATTCTTACAAGCAAAATAAATCTTCCGAAATTCTTGCCTACATAGAAAACGGAGTGATCATAACCTTGATCGCGTGTACAAAAGGCCTAGTGCACTAGTTCAGTAGTGCAGTAATAAAGAACAGGCCCAAAGATAGAAAGAGAAACTACGACGCTCGAATGCGTGAAACAAGGACGATAGATGCAGCATACCCAACTTACCAACGCTAAATTTTTTTTACTTTTCACGGTTGATAGCCCTGGGAATCTATAGCCGTCGCAAAGCAAAAGTAGGCGTGGTTTAGCCGAACTGAGCACACCATGTTATCCCTTCCACCATGGTCG